TGTGTGTTCCTTTATATATGGGATCGGATTTCTTACATTTTTCAGCCGATAAAACAAACATCCACTTTTTTTTTTGGCAGGTAGTATTTCTTATTGTCTTGCACACTTTTTTCTTTATTTACATTCAGAATGCTTTAAAAATTCCATTTACAAGACTATTGTTTATAATAAAATTCTATTCACCAATTGATAGACTCATAACGATTGTAAACAATGTTTTTGTTTGAGTTTGACCAATTCGTAAAAAAAAAAAAACTCATTAAGACATGCGTGTCCGTCAACCTTAAACAATAATCTTTGTCAATTTTATTTTTCAGTCTTTATGATGGTTGATACTTGATCTATCTCTTACTGTTACAACCCCGGGCAATGCCGGGCTCTACTGCTAGTCTTTTATAAAAGTTCTCTTTCTTTTTATTTAATTTCATTTTATTCTGTTTAAAATTTATTTGCTTAAGACTCATTATTCCATTAACTTAATATACAGCTGTACTATTTTATGGAAATATTATTATCACAAAACTTTTTCTCTATGTGTTTCGCCTCAACACCATGACTTATTAAATTATTTCAATAATAATTTGCATTCATTCAGTCACTGGAATGATGAGGTATTTGCCAACATATTAGTTCAGTTATCTAGAATTACTGGGATTTCCTGGGATTTTTCTCTCTCCCACTTTTTAGTGGCTGTGCACATATTCTTATTCCTTGATTAGCTCTGAAGAGTGAGAATCTATAACCTGATAGTTATTTTTTGTTTCTTTTTTGTTATATTTTTTGATCCACTACTATATAGTGAGTAATTTTTTTTTCCTAGCTCTATCTCACCTTTGTTATATATTATTGTATATATTTATATTACTTTTAAAATGTCTGTTTTTTAAACTTTTAATACATACATTCATTTATATATTTTTCTTCTTTTTCAAAAGTTTTCTGAGTATTTAATAGATATCTTTATCATCTGTCTTTCCATGAATCTGTTATCATAAAGAAATAATCTTGCTTCTGCCAATTTTACTCTAAATCAGGTTTGTCAAACTGGTGGTCCATAGCCCTCATGCAGCCCTTTACATGCATCTTGGCCCTCAAAAAGTTTTCTATAGCCGTGGTACATCAATAATTTTGTCTATGTTGGTAATGCAAATTATTAAAAACAGTGAGATTTTTGTCAATTGGCATGATTGTTATTTTGTTTTCAAATGTCAGCGACTATTTTTAACTTCCAGTTAATCATATCATCATCCTTGATGACTAAATAAGAACAAATGTAAAATGAAAACGTTTGTAGTTTTGTAATATTTTGCCTTAAAAATGTCAAATTCTGTTCCATCTTGTAAAAAGAGAAAATTATCTGAAGAAGGATGTGTGTTTCCAGAAAAGTGGGAATTACAGTACTTTTGTACACCTGTTAATGGAAAGATAAACTGTTTGATTTGCAACCACTGCATTGCAACGTCAAAAGAATATAATGTAAAAAGATGTTATGAAACAAACCATCGATCTTATGATAAAAATGAAGGAGATATGCGTGTTTCAAAAGTGAAGGAATTCAAGGTTAAGTTAACACAGCAACAGAGTTGATTTACAAAAATTCAGAAAGGCAATGTTAGTTCTGTTACTACAAGCTTTGAACTCTGCAAGGTCTTGTAAAAACAGCTGAAATTGTATGTCCAGAGAAGTTGCACTTATTTCAAGACATTTCATTAAGCAGGAACATTGTTGATGAATGGATTGATGAAATGGCAGGTGAATCAACAGTTGAAGACTTTATCATCAAGGTTTGAACATTTTTCTATTGCTCTGGATGAGACTGTTGACATAGCTGGAATAGCATAGCTTGCCATTTTCATCAGGGCTGGTGAAAATGAATTTCAAATTTATGAAGAATTAATTGAACTGGTCCCAATGCATGATACTACAACAAGCCAGGTCATATTTGAGAAAGTTGAACAGCTTCTCCATGAGTATGGCCTTGATTTGAGTAAACTTGTGTGTTTATCTACTGATGGTGCTGCCAATATAGTTGGCAGACATAATGATGTTGGTGCCAAGTTAGATACAAAAATAGAAAACATATATCCAGATTCAACATTCAAGCATTTTCACTGTATAATTCAGTAACAGAACTTATGTTCCAAGATTTTAAAATTAGATTATGTGTTGAGTTTTGTCACAAAAATAGTGAACTATATCAGAGATTATGCTCTGCATCACCGTCAGTTTAGCCAGTTATTGGATGATGTGAATAATCAGTTCACAAATGTCCCATTCTACACAGAAGTTTGGTGGTTTTCATGTCACAAAGTACTGAAAAGATTTTTTTTATTGCAACACAAAATTGTCATGTTTGGAGATGAAGGGTCAAATCACAGGGGAATTGAAAGAGGAAAGCTGGCTCCAAGATCTAGCTTTTTCAGTTGATATTACTGCGTAATTAAATGATCTTAATTTGAAATTACGAGGTAAAAATAAGCCCATCACTCAGTGATATGATGACATCAAGTGTTTCATTGCAAAATTATCTTTATTGAAGTACCAGTTATCACATGAAAACTTGATTCATTTTCCTATGTACAAAGAGTTGAAAAAAACTGTTAATACTGAGTCTGTATTTATCTTTGCTAAGTATGACAATTATCTGGAAATGCTGTGAAAGGAATTTCAGCAAAGATTTTGTGATTTTTCATCTTGTGAAGGTTAGTCTGCATTATTCTCAGCACCATTCACTTTTGATGTTGCTCAGGCAGAGGAAAGTCTACAGATGGAACTACTGGAAATGAAGACTGACTCAACACTCAAGGGAAGAAGTAGGGGTACCCGGATTTTTTTCATACCTTCCTCAGACATTTAAGAACTTCAGAAAGTTTACCACAAAGATTATGGTGATGTTTGGTTCCACATAGGACTGTGAGCAGTTATTTTTGTTTATGAAAACCATAAATATGTCTGACAGAACCAGATTAACTGATGAACATTTGTCATCTTTGATCAAAGTGGGATCCACACAGACATTCCAACCTGATATATTAAGAATAGTTTGTCCAAAGTGATGTCAATCATCAGGACAACATAAAAACTATTAAATTGTACTATCTGGTATTGTAAGTATTTTGTTTTTAAAGTTTATTTATCACTAGTTGTGACTAATGTAAGACTGTAAGCATGTGTGGCCCTGAAGGCTGCAGATATGGCTGATGTGGCCCTCAATATGCCCTGAGCTTTACATGCCTGCTCTAAATCATTCAGTTTGTTTTGAAAGGTTGCTAACATAAATTCTTTAAAGTTGATTTCTTTGTAAAGATACTTGTTTGTCCTCATCTAAACTGAAATATGAAATTAATAATTTAAAAATGATGAATTAAATTAATTAGATAATTGAGTTTCAATTTTATATTTATATTTTTCTGCATTTTATAATATATTTGTTGCTTAAGAAATGATTTCAAATCCACCTCTGCTACTCTGGAATTGTGATTTTTTCTTTTTTCCTACAAGGTCACTAATGATGTATTTTACTAAATGTTCTGCTTTATTTTCTTTCAGTTTATTGATTTTTTAACCTCTCTAAGAAAGTCTAGGAGATATATTTGCTAGCACACTGACAACTTCCTCATAAAAAAATATGATTACTCTAAAAGAATAAATAATAACTATAAGTGGGTACTGAAGAGTTTTCAGCCTGACCCCACTTCCCAGTCTAAGTGACCAACAAAACATCTTTGTGATAATCAATGGACAGAGGCTTTTAGAGAATAGCAGCTATAATGAAATTTTACTTTTAAAAACAGCCATACATTCTAATGTTCATTTTGTGAAATGGAATTAGTTTCTTCCTTATCCTAAAGAGAAAAATAACAGTTCAAGTTTGTTTGATTTTTATATATCAAAACACACACACGCACACACACACACACACACACACAAAAAAAAAAATTTGTCTTTCACAATAATTCAGATCATTAATAGGAAAAAAGGTGTTAACTGAGCATTTCATCCTCCATTGCTGCAATGTGAGCCTGGGCAAGAGGTGGGTGTTGATGTGGATAGTTGCAACCAGGAAAACATGCATGGCACATAGTATAGTTTCTGCATATATCAGTTTCCCAATTTTGGTTATCGTCTTTGTGTCTGATTGGAGTTTTGATTAAGGACGGATTTTGCATTATGAAGTGTGGTGGCTGTTGTTTGTGCTTTTGAGTGGGTCAGCTGCCTGCTTGTTCTTTGTAGTGGCTGCCTTGAGTCAGTGAGCACTTTCTTAGGTTGATTTCATCATTGCAGTTTGTGTGCATAGTATATAATGGTGTTGTGGCTGGTTGTGACATCAGTTTTGATACCATTGGGCATCACTTGCTATGTCACATGCTGTATAGTGGCTGTCTATTGTTTTGACTAAACGGGGGTATACATTTGGAGTCTTTGACTTTTTCACTCATCAACATTGCACCCATAAGTGAGAAGACATTGTTGGTAGACATTTCTGAAGTGTTGCCTGCCTTCAATTTGACCTTTATGTGGACAGCAGCCTCTCTGATGGTGTTTTTGAGTTGACCAATGAAATCTGTCAATTTCTTACTGTCTTCAAGTTGTAGATTCCAAGTTCAACTTAGTTGGAAGTTGGTCATCTGGCTGCTGTGGGTGGTTTTCATTTGTTTGAAACTGGATGCTGGGGATCTATCATTTGCTGGAAAATGCCTTTGTTGAGTAATCGTTTGGTAATTTTGATGAATTCCTCTTCCATTGTGAGGTAGGTGGCTTAGTGAAATGTATTTGTGAATCAGAAAGAGATCTTGATAAAAGTAGTATAACATAATAAAAGCAGTATAACATAATGGTTTTAATAATGGAATCAGTCTTATATTTATAGGGTTGGGTGTAATCATGTAAGTGACACACACATATAGATACATGTAAATTTACATATATTTTTTTTACTTTTAGCTATTTCATTTTATTTGTGACAGTTTCTTATCAAATATATTTTTTCTTTCTTTCAGTTTCTGCTGCTGCTGTAGTTGGGATATGTTTTGGTGTTCTGGTAATGCTGGGCACAGCATCAGCTATTGCATATAAATGTTACAAACGGCAACTAGCCAAAAATGCTCAGAATCGTCTTTCCTCAGCCATCAAGAAAGGCCTGAAAGAGAGCAACAATGGCAACCTGAAGAAGGTGTCATCAGCTCGAAAAGTCATCATGAAGTCGAAGGCTACTAGCCCTACATATCCGTCGTCAGGTGAGCACATTGGTGGATCGTTATCTGAACGAGGTCTAGTCAGTGGAAGTGGGGCGGGTCCACTTCCTTCTCAGTTCGATCCCTGCCAGGTAAAAGCAGAATACTATATTGAGAATGAAAAGGATGGCGCCACTCCTGAAAAAGACGAGAGTATGCGTGAGAAACATGAAGACGAGCTGAAGACACCTCACCTTGGGACTTTGCACTTCTCTACTGAATATGATTCTCAGAAGAGTGCACTTCTGGTCACTATTTTGCAAGCAGCTGAATTGCCTCCCCGTGAACCAAGTGTTGGAGGCTGTGACCCATACATCAAGCTGCAACTTCTACCAGAAAAAAAGCACAAATGCAAGACCAGGGTCTTGAGGAAGACCCTGAATCCTGTGTATGATGAAACCTTCACGTTTTATGGCATCAGCTTCAACCAGCTGCAGAGTATCACTCTGCACTTTGTAGTTCTTAGTTTTGACCGATTCTCAAGAGATGAGATCATTGGAGAAGTTATTTACCCACTGAATGGAGTTGACTTGTCTCAGAAAGAGGTTTCTGTGAGCAAAGACATCACACCAAGGCATCTTAAGGTATTTTCAAATTAAATCTTTATTCACTATGAGAAGAGTCCAAAATTTCTGCATCACAGTGGAATCTTCATTTTAATATATAAATATATGTGTATGGATGGGGTATCTACTATAACAAGCTCATTATTCAGATTTCTACAATAATTTAATGAATTCATTTCTCACTTGGTCCCTTACTAATGTAGTCATCTTAAAATATGTTCAGTTTAGTAAATAACTATGCATATATAAAGAAAAGAAATATAAAACCGTAAGGAGATGCTGAAAATTTCTTGAATTGATTCACTTCCCAAAATTTGACCAAATAATCAAACATGAAAATTTCTTTAATCCCTTCTTGGTTAGGATAAGAACTTTTGAACACACCCTCATATAGAAAAAAAAAGTCAGTTAAAATATTTTTTTTTATTTCAATGACTTCTATTGTCATAAACAAAAGAGAAGGAAAGTTGTTTACTTAAAACAAGTTAAAGCATAATTCAAAACTGAGTTTATATGTCAGCATCAAATATACCATCAAAAAATGGAGATGAAAGAAAAAAATTAATAGGAAAGTAAAGTATTTATTTCCTTTAAATATATTCTCTTCAAATAAATTAAATGAAATATTTCATAATGTTAATGACTAAGTTTCAAAGCATCAGAAAAGTTACCTGGTTGGTGAGACATTTTCACCTAATATTAAACTAAAGTATGATAAATTTCTTCCAGTAGGAAATGAAAAAATTTTTTAAATGAAAAAGAATCATTTATATTAATCACTTTTGGTTCAAAATTAAAATTTAAATGTTTATTATTTGATTTGAAAAATAATTTAAGACATCTTCTCAAATAACAAAAACAATACATTTTCAAAACATTCAGATAATTTATAATGTCGAATTTTCTACTAACCTAGAATGACCAAATACATTATATCAATTTCCTGAGAAATTCAGTCATAGCTTTTCAGATTAAATACTTAAAAATATTTGCACTCAAACATATCTATAACAAAGATTTTTATAACAAAAAGCATATATAAATATAGATATGTATTGAACTTCAGGTCATATATATATATAGTTTTAAGGTATGATCAATATCATAGCAAATGCAAAAATAAAAGGTTGAAACTGGCATCACTGAATGATGATAGTCCATTTCATAATCGAACAAAATCTTCAGGCCATATTGAGGAGGCATGGTGGAGTAGCAGATAACTTGAATTGAAGAATCGGAGAACTGAGTTCAAATTCCATTCGAATCCATTACATTCACTTATGTGCTAATACCCTTGGGAAAGGTATTAATCCTCCTCTTCTCTCACCATAGGTAAATAGCAGGACAGACTGGGTTCTATAGCCTTGAATGGCAACTGGTCTAGGAGAAGGACAACTCTGAATTCAAAACCTGCAGAGGGTCTTTTGGGGACCTTGTGGCATGTAGTGGACCAGGTCTCTGTATTCGGCCCTACAAAAAGTGTGGTTGGTTCTGCACAAAACCTTCACCACTAATCACATCATATGTGCTGGTGTCTTGCTGTCAGTTCCTAGGAACTGAGCTGCTTGACCTTCATACATCAAATACGATGGGAGAGTCCACCATATATATATTTAAATAATAAGAAATAAAGTACCTTAGAAATATATATATATATATATATATATATATATATATATATAAAGTGAACATTGAAGTCAACACTCAGAGGGGACAGGCTGTTTCATGTTATATGTAATTGTCAGGCTGCCTGTCGCCTTTGAGTGTTGACTTCAATGTTCACTTTTATATTTATATTTACATATGCTCTATCTCTGATATTGAGCACTTTATCCCATAAATGTAACACAACTTAAAACTATTTATAGCTTTATTATATATTATACAATATTTCTTCATATATATATATATATATATATATATGGTAAATAAATAAAAATGTCCAAAATCTTATTTCATGACTACTAGTATAAAAGTCTTTGATCTTAATTTATTTGCAATAAATTCCCTCTTTCTTAATATTACACACTTTTTCTTTTACAAAATTGCTTACCTTAAATGTGCTATATTCAACTGGTCAATGTTATCTTCAGGCAAAAACAATCTCAGGCCTGAAGATTGCATTTAAGCATGAAACAAACTGTTGTCACAGAGCCTTGATTTCTATGGCCACTTATATATATATATATATATATATATATATATATATATATATATATATATATATATATAGTAGCTGACCACTTGTATTTCAGGATACCTGTCTATTAGGTCAGCTAACCAATCCCTATTGCAGACGTTCGCTTAGGCACATTTGTGTTTGTTCAACACCCACAGAGCCCACCTGTGATTTATACTGCAACTATGCTGAGCAGACCTTAGTTACAATTTCTGGGAAAGAGCGTGTTATCTAGCGTGATCAACAATCTGAGCAAGGCCAGCACACTCAACCATTCAGTCACAAGAGTGGACATTGAAATGAACACCTAGATGTGACAGTCTGTTTCATGCTAAATGCAGTTGTCAGGCCATGTGCACTGATGTTTTCATTTTGCATGAAACAGACTGTTGCCACTGGGTGTAGACTTCAATGTCTGTTTTTATATTTACATATGCTCTATCCCTGATATTGAGTGCTTTAACCCATAAATATAGCAAACCTTAAAACTATATTTTATCATTATATATATATATGACTAAAGCCAATAATCTAGATCAGTAGTCCAAAAGTATTAAATGAACAAGGGAATCATGGCTGTCAGAACTCCAAAATTAACTTTCATATTTTCAATTGAAAGCTGAAACATTGAAGAGGTGAAGAATGTTTTGAAAGAAATACCGAGGCCTGTATTGTTTACTTGTATAACTATTGTGTAGTTCTCGTATAATAGACTTGGTTGGAATTTGAACTCAGGTCACCAATTCTACTATCTTTGCCAATAACCATTATGTTACCTATACATCCAATGACAAAATACAAATGTTAAATGTCTTGCTTTTATATTTCTTTATTTGGTAAAATTTTAGTAGATCTTTGAAGAAGAAACCATTTGATGCAGTCATTTTAATTATATTATCATGTTGATTATCAGAATTTATTTTTTGTTTGAAAGATCTTGCAGCTAAATAGGCTCGTCAGTTTTTGTTGCTTTCATCAAATTTAAACATAACAAGAATTACCTTTAATGAACCATGACCTGAAAAATTTTAACAAGTTGTGAGATAGTATTTCCTGAATGTACTTTACAACCTATAATATGCACCCCCACCATCCAAAAGCCACAAAACAAGCTTCTCACCCAAAAAGCTAGAAATGGTCCACCCACCTAATAAATCAAAGAAAAATACTCCCTAGCCAAGTTGCCAAGGAAGATATTTTCTATCCAAAATACACTGAAAGATACTTCTCTAACTCTAAGATAGTGGCTTCTTATTACCTTTAATAAATCATGACCCCCCACCCTATTTTCAAATTTACCTTTAACATCTCAACTTCCTTTCACATGTTCAATTTCTATAGTTTCTATGATAAAACAGAATCTATAATAAACAATGCAAGTTTTGTTCTTCATCAACTATTACTTCAGCATTAAAATTTATAGACGCATTAGTAATCAATTTAAGTTTATATTAAAATAAATATAAAATGCAAATAAAATCTATTTGGGCAAGAATGAAGAAAATTTAAATAAATTCAACAGTTAGATAAATTATTTTTCAAAATAAGATGAAGAGTGGTGTCAATAACATGACTTAAAATTAAACAGACAGTTTCTTCCAAAATATATTTTGAAAATTTTATCAACTTTAATTTACAGTTCTGTATCATGGAAAAAATACACGAACACATCTTAATTTGAGTTAAAAATCTTACATCATTTTTTGAAGAGTTCAAATCTTTTTATGTAAATCTGCTTTAAAATAAAACTGATAAAGTTTCATAACACAGAAAGCATGTCACATTTCTATTTAAAATTAATTTTTGGTCATAAGAGTAATATACCAGCTGACTTAATTCTGAATGAATTTGATTTACTGACGAAAAGATTTAACTTGACCTAGTAAACATATATCCCTGTTTCTGAGTAATTAAAATATTTCTATTATTTGGAGCTTTACTTATATTGTCTTTTTGTACCTCAATAAATTGTACTTTTAAAATTTATTTTGATATTTTCTGCCCTTGAAAATTCTATTAATTAATTCTATCAAGAATTTTGAAGTTTTATCCAGAATTTGATATGAACATTGTTCCTTAATATTTAATGTATCTTTATAAGTTAATTTTGACACTCAAAGCAAAAAAATATCCATTGCTGGATTTCCATAAACTTTTAAAAATGTAAATCTAACGATTATCTTTAATTATTAATTTTATTTAGTAATTTTTATTTTTAAAAAAATTATGTGAAATTTTAATATTTTAAGATGAAATATTAAAATTAAACTTCTGGTTGTGCAGACTGAGCAATTATTGAATTAGAATTTCATGTGAAGCAAGAATCTAAAAGATTTAGCATCTTAAATCTCATGCACACACACACATGCACATGCACAACCTATTTGACAAAATATATTTTGTTTGTGGCATTCAAATGGATAACTGAAAAATGCAAGAAAATATTCATGAAATATTCAATGATAATTAGATGACATTATAACAAAGCCATTTATTGTTTCAGCCATAGTTACAATAATGCTAACTTATTAATATTTACTTTAGAAGCTGGAATAGAGTGAAGTATTTTATCATAGGTGTATTTGCTTCTTTGTCAAAAACTGATTAACTTAATAAAATTAAAGGAGAAATTGTGATGTTTTGCTACATGAAATAAATAATAAGATAGGAGCAAGTGATATTGTATAAGAATTTGATTCCTGTTTATCACATAAAATACTCTAATTTTATAATATTAACAAAATATTTAATACTAAAGCCACATTGAAGCCATGTAAATCAAATTATAAAATGAAAAGTAAAATACTTGATGAAACATTGTTGCTTTTCTTTTCTTTTC